TTTTTATAAAAAAACCGTCGTCTTTACTTATAATAGACGACTCTTTTTATAAAAAACCGTCGTCTTTACATATAATAGACTACCATTTTTATTAAAAAACCGTCGTCTTTACTTCATAATAGACGGCCCTTTTTATAAAAAACCGTCGTCTTTACATATAATAGACGACCCTTTTTATAAAAAAACCGTCGTCTTTACATATAATAGGACGACCCTTTTTATAAAAAAACCGTCATCTTTACATATAATAGACGACAGTTCTTTCAAAACAACCATGTCTTTACCAAAAAAAGGACACTTGATTTTTAAAAGACGACGCTTGTCATTTTATAAAAAACCGTCGTCTTTACATATAATAGACTACCCTTTTTATAAAAAAACCGTCGTCTTTACTTATAATAGACGACTCTTTTTATAAAAAACCGTCGTCTTTACATATAATAGACTACCCTTTTTATAAAAAAACCGTCGTCTTTACTTATAATAGACGACTCTTTTTATAAAAAACCGTGTCTTTAATTCATAATAGACGACCATTTTCATATAAAAAGGGTCGTCTTTACTTCATAAAAGACGACCATTTTTATAAAAAAACCGTCGTCTTTACTTAATAATAGACGACCCTTTTTATAAAAAAAAACCATCATCTTTACATATAATAGACGACAGTTCTTTCAAAACAACCATGTTTTTACCAAAAAAAGGACACTTGATTTTTAAAAGACGACGCTTGTCATACCTGCTGTCGTTGTTTTTTGGTCAAATTTTAACTCTAAAGAAAAGCTTTTTAATAAGATGACACTTTTTTATTTGTGTGCGTCGTTATAAAAAAATTCTCAACAGTATCTCCATTTTTTAGTTGTTTAAGTCACTTATCCACGACGGTTTTTTGTTACCGTCGTCTTTTTAAAAACAACGACGGTTTTTTGTTCTGCCGTCGTCTTTTTCTGGTCGTCTTTTGCCCTTTTTGTAGTAGTGACCATTAAATATATCTCTAATTATTTTTAAAAAAATTATGAAAGCCTCACTCTAATGTGAAATCCTAGCTCCGCCATTGTTTTGACATACACATGAATTGCATGTGTCATCCTTATTATGTATGAGGACTATCTTTATCAATGTCTTTTTAAAGGGGCAAAAAACATTAGTACATTTTATTTTCCTTCTCCTGCTTATTTATTATCAGTTTCATTATATTACTTCATTGCAAACAGTAAACTTAAGTAATAAACAAGGACAAAAAGAGCAAAAAAATTCACATATAAATTGTAATGCATGTATTTGGTTTTCCCTCTATGATTGTTAGGTAGGTGGATTCTTCACTTTCTTGTCAGATTTTTGGTAGCATTCTTGTGGGGTAGCTTTTTACAAAATAAAGAAACATAATAATAATTACAAGAGAGTGGAAGAGCGCTTTGCCATACACAGATGACTACTCCCATGCAATCCGACAGGATAATCGAATAAAGACAATCCACCACTAAATACGTACACCTCTCTTTTTCTGGACTTTTCTTGTGTTTTGTCATTATAAAGTATGGGAGTAGTTAGAGATTATGAATGAATATTGAGGATGCACAATTGCATTTGACAGAGCTAAGGCAGGAAATGGGAGGGAAATGGAGGGTGTTCCTGAAAGAGCTTAGGAAGGTGAGCTACGTAGCAGCGCCGATGGTGGCTGTCACGGTGATGCAGTACCTTATACAGGTTGTTTCGGTGATGATGGTTGGACATGTTGATCAGCTCTCGCTTTCCGGGGTCTCTATTGCCACCTCTTTCACCAATGTTACTGGCTTCAGTCTTCTTGTAATGTCCTCTCTCCCTTTTTATCCTTTGACTGCAAGCCATGCAACTTGTTCATATTTTAAGGTCTTGTCTCCCTTCAATTTCAAACAACTAGCTTCAATCATGATTTTTGGTCTTCTTCCAAACACTAGCTAGGTTTGATCTGCACTGATTTGGAGTTACATTGGCAAATTAAGTTATACTCAAAGCTGGGAAACTCAAGCATCTTGTTAAAATCATAACTTTCGTTCAACGGACTTGTTTACTTAGTTGCCAAGTTACCTTAATTTAATTACTCATGATAATTGATCCTTCAAAATGTTGCAGTTTGGTCTGGTTGGTGCATTGGAGACTCTGTGTGGACAAGCATATGGCGCAGAGCAATATCAAAAGCTTGGAATTTACACTTACACATCCATCCTTTGTCTTTGTTTGGTCTGTGTCCCAATATCTCTACTATGGATATTCACAGACAAAATCCTACAATTGATAGGCCAAGACCCTTTGATCTCAAATGTAGCCCACAAATACTCACTCTGTCTCATCCCTAATCTCTTCTCCTACGCCGTACTTCAATCGCTCGTTCGATATTTCCAGACACAGAGTTTGATTCTTCCAATGCTGTATAGCTCTTGTGCAGCTCTGTGTTTGCATGTACCTCTTTGTTGGGGTCTCACCTTTAAACTCAAACTAGGAAGTATTGGAGCAGCATTAGCTATAAGCTTCTCTTATTGGTTTAATGTGCTTTTACTTGGGTTTTACATAAAGTATTCTGTAGCATGTGAAAAGACTCGTGCTCATGTGCTTTCAATTGAGGTCTTTCTAAACATTAAGGAGTTCTTCCGCTTTGCTGTTCCTTCAGCTTTAATGGCTTGGTAATCATTTTCTCTTTTCTTCCTCACTCTAAGAAGATTGTAGTCTTATTGTATACACACACGAGCACTCAAGCGCTAACTCGTTCGTAACGTGAAGGAGAGAAACGTGAAGGAGAGAAAAGACAAAAAACTTGTAGGTTCCACTATGCAGTTCTACCCGTTAGCCCAGCCAGGGCAAAAGGCCCCCCCAGGCCAGCAAAGTGGGACTCCAGAATCCAGCCCGGGCAGATAGTCGGCTCAACGAAGCCTGCGTAGGCCCAAAGGAAAGAACATCTCAAGCTGTTGTCTGAGGATGCTGAAGTCAGCATGATATCAAAAAAAATTAAAAAATTAAAAACAATGGAAAAAAAAAAAAAAATTACTATGTCAAATACCATTCATGTGAACAGTAAATGTCATGTCTCCTTTTATCTTTTACCATGTGTCATGTCAAATAAATAAAAGTGCTCTTGTACGTATTCGCCTCAAGTGGTACGAAAGGTAGGGAAATGATAAACTACTAGGAAAAAAATAATAAAGCTGGGTTTTACATTCATGCCCATCCATCTAAATTGAATTGAATTGAATTTTATATAGCAAAATTGAAAGGTGAGTAGTACAGGTGTCCTGCCATATCATCCAAACCTAAGAAACTAGAAAGGTCCTAGAAGGTACCGATGGGCCAATATTATTCCAATAGGAAAAGCATGGGAAATAAATATATGGAAGAGCAGACAAGAATCCAAATAGTAATCGCATTAAAATGGCCGAGTGGAAGGAAGGTCCTAGACAACCCTATCCCTATTATGTGGCATTTTCTGTTTCGACCTAGTAAGTGGTCATGATTATCAACAGAATGTTGATCACAATAGGCCCTAGGTCTTTTCTTCACATAAACCAACCTACAGAAAGGGCCAACTTTCAATACTTTTATTGGGAGAATTTAAAGTACATGTTTGCAAATTGCAATGAGTCTGGAGTGGTTTCCGTATTTTTGAAATTTGTCTACATTGGAATTGAGCTCAATCTTCAAGAATGAAACAAATAACACTCAACTCGATAACATCAACAAATTTTATGCAACTTCCCAGGTCTGGAGAGGGATCTCTGTCATTTAGTTCAAGCTTCATAATCATAAAAAACTTATATGGGGCCACATTTGCAATTCGTGATACCTATTTATTTATTTATACTAAGTAGCCAACTATATTTATTGCGTTCTTGTCAACTAAATAGACTAATCAAGAGATTCACTTCTACTATGAGACTAATAAAAAATCCTAGGTCCTACAAAGACGGGTGATCTCACCACTTCCTGCCAACTGAAGAATGTGCCTCTCGACCCTTCTTCTCTCTTCTTATCCCTTCTTCTTTCTTCGTGGCAAGGAGGTCGGCAGCTCTATTTTGCTTCGCAATAAACTACCATTGACCTCATGGCCAACAAAACTAAAACTATCCCTTCTTAGAGTTTTGCTTTTAAAAGAGATGAATTGATTTCACCTTGTGCCCACTATAGGCCATGCTGACTCACCATTTATTATCTTATATATATATAACTCTTTGGTGTTTTTTTTTTCACGCTCAAGCATTCACTTTAATGATTATTGACGTAATTTAATATTATATCAAACTTATCGTACCTTTCTCTCTCCTTTCTCTCTATTACCTACTTTCCCTTCTCTCTGTCTCTCACCCTCTCTTTCTTTTTTTAATTTTCATTCTCTTTCTTCTTCTATTTCTCTCTCTCTTCTCCGCTTCTTCTCCTTGTTAACAAAGGGGGCTTAAGCCCAGAGAACAATGGTTTCATTAAGCATGTTGTTTTTTCCTTGAGTCAAAAAGCTTGTGGAAAATGCATCACATGCCTCTTTAATTTCTAGATCTCCATAGACATTTCATTTAAGCCTGTTATTTTTCCTTGAGTCAAAAAGCTATGAGAACAATGAGACTTGTAATCATTTATCCAAATCAAACGGACAATGGATTTTGATAATTTGTGGATTGCGATGGGTGTTTCTTTGTTTTTCTCTACAAGTCAACAATTTCTGGAAAACACACCCCTTAATGGCGGTACATATGCAATCATAACCTAGAAATTAATTGACAAATTTAATTGGGGATTGTGAACCTTTCTGCTATGGGTGTTTCTTTGTTTCTCTCTCCAGTTGGAAGGATCAGTTGAGTTGTAGGTTATGGTATGATGTGATGAGGTTGTCAATGTCAAAAAGATGTTGAGAAGATCTTTCTTGAGAAGATGGAGGCGTTGAACAATTAGTTAAAGTAAACCTCTTAGGCTGCCCTCAGCTGCCCACCTTTTCAGTTTTATAAAGAAGAGAGAGAAGGGAAAGCGTGAGGTAATCGAGAGAAAGAGGAGAGAAAAATGTATGACAAGTTTGATATAATATTAAAGAGATTTTCTATTTAAATTCCGCACTTCTCTTTGATCACCCCAATACTTAAATCATTAAACCGTAAGTTTTATTATTGTGTAAAAAGACAAAAAAGAACATCAAACTTAATAATTAACCCTAGTACATCTATACACACACCCCACACACCCCAACTTCCTATTTACAAACTCTCTCTCTCTCTCTCTCTCTCTCTCTCTCTTTGAACAATACCTAAGTGTTGGAATTCCAGTTACAGTTCTTGGAGAGATGTAAAGTTGTTCTCTTTCTCTAGAAAGTATTAAATTTTGGGTTTGGGGTTTCATTTGTTTGTGTTTTTTTTTCTGCTGGGAACAAAGAAAATTGTAGGGTTTAAATAGAAAATCTCTTTTATTTCTGATTTTTTTCAGTTTGGGGTGTATTTAAGGGTAGTTTAGGAAGATAGTGGGGTTTTTTTTAGAAATTGTGAAAATTTAAATTAAAAGATGGGGTGAACTTAGAACATGGGGTGAACTAAGAGAAGTATGGGGTTTAAATAGAAAATCTCAATATTAAATTAGTTCAATAATCATTAAAGTAGCTGCCAGTTGCGCGTGAAAAAAAAGAGTGCTGCTAAACGAACCCTAAAATTAACTGAGTACACCTATGATCTAAGTACACCCTAATATTTTAATTAAAATGTAAAATTAACTAAGTACACCTTATTTAACTATCAAAAATACCCCCGATACACCATAATACAATCTATCACACAACACCCTAATTCCAATCATAAATCAGGTTTCTCTTTTTACATGAATTCGTTCCCTCTTTTCAGATTTTGGGTTTGCATCAAAAAATTTAATTTCATGAGCTACAATGGGAGTAGATTTGCTAACTCCTTCAATTCAAAGCTTCATCATCTTACTTTTCTTTTCAACGGTGTTTTAGTGCACATGCACACAACAAACAAACTGAGTTATAAGGAAATCAAAGTGTGCATAATTTTAATTTCCAATAAGACAATAAAATAAGATTTTATTTGTTTATTTTTATCTATGTTGCTATTTGCCTTTCTTGGAGATATGTGCATTGAAGTTTCTCTTTCATAATTCTCCTATTTCTCAGCCGTGGATACTCTCCCATAACCCATTACAGGTTTGCCTTCACTTTAACTCACGGGACAAACCATTAGGTTCAATATTCATGGGTCTGCTATCGTTTTTCAAATCAATGATTTTCACCAAGATTGGTGGGCAAAGAAGTGGGGTCAAACTCAAATGATTCTTTCGAAACACCATCTCATTCATCATCAGTCATCTTGAACGACGGAATTCAATGAGAAAATCTATATAGCTCATTGGGTGGTACTTGAAACAAGATCCTTGTACTAAAACAGACTGACAAATCCTTTTACTGGAACCAAGCAATACAAAAAATTCTCTAAGTTTGATTATGGCTGAATATGGTGAGTATGTTGTACTTATTAAACTTGTATTTGTTTCACAATTCAATATATCCTTTTTGGTCATTTTATATTATGGTAAATTAGTAATTCAATAAATAATTTGATAATATGATGTACTTAGGCTTAGTTTGGGGTGCTTTACTTTTAAAAAAAGCAGCTTATTTTTTAAGTTTTGAATGAAAAAGTGTTTGGCAAATCAAGACAAGGCTGCTTTTTTTCAAAATTCTTGTGACTCACAGCATGGAAGCATGCGGAGCAATTAATGAAACATTCAAAATACCTATAATACCCCCATTTGTTTTAGCAAATGACATCCGTTATCCTCACTTTCTATTCTACGTTAGACCCACCAGAGTCCCAAATTCACCGCCTCGCCACAACCTCCCCGGACCGTGACCGTATAGGATGTGGCTGTGTTATGGCAGGGTTTTGGGTGGGGTGGAGAGAGAGAGAGAGAGAGTCATGTGGGGCTGCCGTTGGGTGTGTAGGGAGTGGAGTGGGTGAGGGCTATGGAACAGCCATAAGAGAAGGAAGAAAATGTTTGAATGGGGAATCAGTGGGGTAAAACCAATTATTGCATATTTGATTCCTTATCAACCAATGATAGGATTGCAAAGATCTGGAAGAAAAAAAAAAAAAAGGGGGGG